TAAGGTGAGGAAGGGGATACTGAACTGTGTTCAGGAGTGTGAAGGGGCATTACTCAGTGTTTCTGAAGAAGGGAAAACAGGGTGGTTAGGATTTGGCTTAATTTATTTTCTTATTCAGTAAATCTCAGTTTCTTCTTTGTCAAATACAGGACCTAGTGACTAGAGAGCATGAGAAGGTTACAAATGGACCTCATGGGGCAGTTAAGTACAAATAACTGTAAATACCTCTAATTTATACCTGGTGGGTGGTAGAGATCAGAAGTGGCCTGTAGAACTTTTTAGAAGGAAGATATTCCTTCTAGTTTGGGTGCTTAGGGAAAAGGCTTATAGGATTGTGACACCTGAGTGGCCTTAAAAAAAAAAAAAGAGTAGAAGGGAACATTATAAGCAAAGCAAAGGGTTTCCACTTGAGTATGGCAGATTGAACACAGGGGCTTTTACTCCCTCCAAAATCCCTTTCAAACGTCAACAGAGGAATTCTTCGAAAAAGGCACGTGACTCTATGACAAGGAAAACAAGGTGACAGCAATGAATGAGAGACATCAATATTTGGGAAAAAAAGTAAATGGAAAGGTGGAAGTTGAGCTAGCAGAGCAGAATGAGATGGGCTCTACCTGCTGAGGGGTGGTTGTTAACAAGAGGCAAATCACTGTGCCCTTCTAAACCCAGAAGAGGCTCAGGAGGGGGATACAGATTGGGGCTGAGAACTGGGGCTGGGGGGGAGGGGAATCAGAGATGTGTATAAGAAAAAGCCCCCCAGGTCCTTACTTTATCTGATTCAACCAAGTGATTACCCCTACTTCTCTGTGAGAAATGGGAACTTTAGTCTCTGGAGAAGTGGTGGGGAGGCAATTTTCAAAGAACTACTTATAAAGGTTTCCTAAATCCAAAGGTCATGAGTTTCTAGACTGATGAGAGTCAGTGAGTGCCCAGCGTAGTCAACAAAAATAGCACCCTGAAATCGCAGAACCTCAGGGAAAGTATAAACCTTTAGAACCTCTGGATTTAATAGGAGACATGGTGGGGATGAGAGTGAGGAGCTAGATTGAAAATGAGAGATAAAGTGGAAGTATGAGTAGCAGGGCTCTGAAGGTGAGCACAATTGACATAGCCCCTAGGCTAAAACAATTACAAAAGGCCCACAAATACACATTTTTGTTTCAAGAAAAAAAGAAATCCATCTTTCCCCCACTCATCACCCTACAGTGAAGCTAGTTATTTAATAAACCCTATACATCATGCGAAGAGTTGACTCATTGGAAAAGACCCTGATGCTGGGAGGGATTGGGGGCAGGAGGAGAGGGGGACAACAGGATGAGATGGCTGGATGGCATCACCAACTTGATGGGCATGAATTTGAGTAAACTCTGGGAATTGGTGATGGACAGGGAGGCCTGGCATGATGTGATTCATGGGGTCGCAAAGAGTCCACACGACTGAGTGACTGAACTGAACTGAACTGATACATGGACAGAACTTAGAATTAGTTTTTTAGTATTTCACTCTTAAATGTGAATAGACCATTAAGGGCCACCAGACATTTGAGGAACCTTCAACATGAAAGAGATCAAAACAAACAGAAAATTGAAACCAAGGAATCCACAAAGTAACTTTCTGAAAACTTAAAGAGATGAAAATGTTATAATTCTCAAAGCTCAGGGAAGATATTGTGTCTTTGAATAAATGGTATGAAAAGGAAAAGTTGGAGAACAAAAGAACTCTTGGAAATTAAAAAAATAGGTAAATGAATTTTTTCCTACTAGAAAACTGGAGGAGTACAAAACCAAATAGGAGGGAGATTATACTATGTCCATACTTACATACTTACTGAATTTTTAATTGTGAATATTTTACCTGTATGATGAGATAGGGGAAAGGTTGGAAATAATGTTAAGAAATATTGAAAAAGGTGAAATCATTTAAAAATAAAGTGGATGATAAAGGAGAAAAAAGGATCAATCCAGAAGGTCCAACATCTAGCAGGAGTTGCAGAAACAACAGGAAGAAAATGGTAGTAATGTTACTAAATAATTCAAGAAAGTATTGTTGAACTTCTAGATGGGAAGTACTCACCCAATGCCTATTAGCGTGAGTAGCACCAAGGCATATCACCAAGAAATTTGAGAGCCCCCAGGGATAAAGAGAACTTCCTAAAGACTTGCAAAGAGAGTTAAAAACAAGTCCTGTACAAATTAAGAGATCAAACTGATCACTTAATAGCAACACTAGAAGCTAGAAGACAATGGAATGACTCAGAATTCTGAAGGAAAATTATTAATACTTGAAATGCAGAATTATACTCTCATCTTTTCAAGTTTCTCCCCAATTAAAAAATTTTTTTTCAAAACTTTTTATTGAAGTATAGATGGTTTACAATGTTGTGTTAGTTTCAGGTGTACAGCAAAGTCATTTAGTTTTATACATATTAATATATTTTTTTTTTCAGATTCTTTTCCATAATAGTTCACCCCAAATTTTTATCTCTCATGCTTTCAAGGGTAACTACCAAAGGATGTGTTTACTACTATCAAGGAGTAAATTATTGAGGAAACTGGGATCCAACACAGAGAGGCAGAGAATGATGCAAAGAAAGGATGAGAGCTGTTCACAAGCTGAGACAGCCAGCAGTGCGGACCAGAGCAATGGAATGGAAGGGTCCAGAAAAGAAAGCCAATGGGTTATCTAATACATTTAATTAGTAAAATATGAATTGAGAAGCTATTAGATTATGTGGAAAGACTTAATGATAAGTACACTATATAAAAAAGCAAATGAAAGAGCAAGGCAATGATTAATGCCAGGAAGAAGAGTTGGAAACATTTAAATGTCAATACTACATACTATATATATTTTCTTAACCAAAATCCTAAGAGGTTAGGGGAGGTGGAGAAAAGGTAAATCCATCAATCAAAATTGGAAATCAACAAACAATGTCTGGAATGCATAAATCAGGGCTTCCCTGGTGGTCCAGGGGTTAAGAATCCACCTGCCAATGCAGGGGACATGGATTCAGTCTCTGGTCCAGGAAGATCCCACATGCCTTGGAGCACCTAAGCCCATGCCTCTCAACTAGAGAAAGCCTGCTCACAGCAATGAAGACCCAGCATAGTCATAAATAAATACATTAAAATTTTTGAAAGACCTACAGAATGTATAAATCAAGAAGTAATATGAGCTTAAAAAAATGTACACTGGGATGGGGGTGGGGAGGGAAATGAAACGACTGCTGTTAAAGGTTTTCTTAATATTTGTCTATGCGTGCCTATTTGATAAAAATTTAAAGGGAAGGTGTGAAATGAAAATATATTTAGTGTGTGAGCAGGGGCTGACAAATAGGTTGAACGGATTAAGTAAAAACTTTATAATCAGGATACAATGAAAAAAAGGCTGTAGAGGTAGGTAGAGGTTAGATTATGGAGAGCTTTGAATATCATGCTAAGGATATTTGGGAAGTACTGCAAAATGTGGAGAGGTTTCTAAGATGAAGAGGTATCTGAAAGGTCCTTAATCTTGAAATGCTAATTTGGCAACAGTATGCAAAATGGCATGGGAGGAGCCCACACTTGTTACTGTGGCCTAAAAGGACCTGTGTGGTCTGGACCCAGCCTACCTAATTGACACTCATCTACCACCATCATTGTAGTCACAATGACCTTTTTGTTATTCAAATTTGGCAGGTTTATTCTTGCCTTAGCCCTTATACTTGGCTGTCTGTCTGCCTAGAATGCTCTTCCTCCAGACCAGACCTTCTTATAGCTGCTTCCTCACTAGTTCTAGGTCTTCAGGCAAATGGAAAAGGCCTTCTCTGACTGCCTATATTGCTCTTTCCCCTGTTACTATCACATCACTCCGTTTTACCCTTTTTCATAGCATTTGTCACTCTGAAGTTATTTATTTACAAGCCTGTATGCTGCGACAGCCCATGGGGTCGCAAAAAGTTAGACACCACTGAGCGACTGAACACTGTGCCTCCTTCCAAATGAGTGAAAAGTCTGAGAACAGCCTTATCTGCCTTGTTTTCCTCTCCCTTTCATGCAGTATGCCTTGCACATAGTAGGCACTCAGTATTTATTAAACAAGTCAAAAGCTTAGGCATGAGATCTGTTAGAAACGATTATACTTAGCCCTGGCTGAGACTTCATGTCCCAGTCAGGCAGGCATCTTCATACTTAAGCTCATTCTGCATTCAGTCCATTTATTAAATCACTACTTCACACTTCGGTACTGAGGTTACAAGAAGGAATCAGAACTCGATCTTGTTCTGTCCGTAAGGAGTTGTCGGGTAGACTCAATGACAGCAGCTATGCTTCTCGGCAAACCCTAAAAGGCCAGGTCGATGAGGTCTCTATCCTCCAGAAATACTTGGTCAGAACCTCTTCTCTGGGAAGCAAAGCAACCCCTGCATTAATGCCTTCCCAGCTGCAGAGGAGCAGCCGATCCCCTTGGGTCCAGAGCCAGGGTCTTGAAGAGTCCGGGAACCCGGCCATCCTGAAGCGATCTATCCATCCAGCCCCTGGGGGCGTAGGCGACCGCCGCCACGCTCCCCGCCCCCCGAGCCTGGGACCGGAGCGCAGGAGCGGAGCACCGCCTGGTGGGTGGGCGGGGTGTCCGCGGGTTCGGCGGAGACTCAGGCCATCTGCCGCGAGGCCAGAGCGGCTCGGCGGCGGCCAGGGGCGGGGCCGCGCCGGGGCGGGGCGCGCCGGGGTCGGGGGCGGAGAGTGGACCCGGCCGCGGCCCAGAGCCGGGAGGGCCGCGGCCACCGGAAGAGTCGCCGTAGCCAGCCGAGCCGCGAGAGTGGGGAGCGGAAGCGGCGGCCGCGACCGCGGCAGGCGGCGCTGGGACCCGGGAGCGGCCGGAGAACAAGGGAGCTGGCGCCACGGCCGGCGGCGGAGCTGGGCTGAGCCGCTGGGCCGCGCCGAGCGCCGCCGCCGCCGCCCGAGAGGCCCGGCCCGGCCTCCCGAGCAGGCAGCGCGCGGACCGCCGGGCCCGAGGCCGGAGCCATGGGCGAGACCAAGATCATCTACCACCTGGACGGGCAGGAGACGCCGTACCTGGTGAAGCTGCCCCTGCCCGCCGAGCGCGTCACCTTGGCGGACTTTAAGGGCGTTCTGCAACGACCCAGCTATAAGTTCTTCTTCAAGTCTATGGACGACGATTTCGGGTGAGGATGGCTCCGCCTCGCCTCCGGGGGACCCCGGCTACTCCGCTTCTAGGGGCCCACTCGACCAGTTTGGACCTCCCCGTCGTCACCCCCCCCGCCCCCCCCCCCCCCAGCTTGTACGCTGGCTTCTAGCACTACTCTGGATTCTAGGGACCACGCGGCCATTCGGCCCCGGTTGGCTTTTTCAGAGGCTGGACTTTCAGCCCCTCTAGGGGTTCCCCTTTCCCCTCTTGTTTGGGACCCTGGTCCCTTAGTTTAAAGGGGACGTTCAGCTCCCTAGAAGCAGTCAGTTCTAGCCCAGTCAAGCTCCCTCACCTCCTCAGAAACCAGCGGCCCACACAGACAGACACACACACCCCCACCCATTCCGGAGCGCAGTCCCCAACCCTCCTGCCAATGCAGCCACCTTTATAGCAGAGGCTCAGAGTGTTTGGCACTCGGCCTTCGTCTTCTCCATCTTTTCAGCTTCACAACTCCGAGCCATATTTGGAATATGGAGCATCTAGGGGCTATGCTGTGGGACCTTGAATTGGCTGGGGGGTGCTCAGGCTGTAAACTAAGGCCTGCACCTCTGATGTTTACTTAGCTGTCTCCCCTGTCCCCTGTGGGCCGTTCGGGATGTTGTCAGGGAGCAGGGCGCCTCACCCCAGAGGAGGAGTCCCCACTAGCCCAGGTGCAGATTCCCTCGCAGAAGTGGGGCCTCTTTCCTCCAGATGGTGGCCAAGGAGGAGACCTTGGAAAAGGCCTCAGAGCCTGAATGGGAGGGCTAGGAAGGGTCTCTCGTGTTCATCCTCCCCTCCCTGGCGGAGTCTTCTTCCCCCAGCTGCAGGGCTTTGGACAGGCGGAGTTTGGAAGCAGTGACTTCCCCTTTAAGAGGGGATGGAATGTTGGAGCCGGAAGGTTCTGTAGCAGCTGGCCTGGGAGGGGGAGCCTGGCTGATCCCCTCACCACCACCCCTACCCCCCTCCAACTCCCAGGGGACTGGGGAGGGGGAGGCCCCCACACTAGCCTGCCCCGCAGTAACTGGGCACTGGGCCTGAAGGCCTGAGGGGAAGGCCTTCCTGGGCCCTCCAGGCCTAAAGGCCGCCTCTCCAGCCGTAGCCTGAGGCCTACAGTGCTCTTTAGAGCTGAGGCCCAGAGCTGAGTGAGGGGAGACATTCTTCTCCCTGGTGTTCATCACCCTGGCTTCTCTCCAAGGCCCCTAGCCCTCCTGGCTCTGGGATGCTAGCACCTTCTCTGTCTTCTGCCTGGCATGTTTTCGCGTCACCTTTACCCCTGGAATTCAGGGTTTGATGAGCCCATGAGCTCATATGTGTGAAAGTGCTTTATAAGGTGGGAAGTACTGTGCAGCTTCTAACTATTCTTGTTTCTGTTGCTGTTCCTGCCTTTGGGTGGAGTACTCCTGGTGTAGTAATGATTTTCTGGCTTCAGTCCAGAGACAGACACCCCCAATTGGAAGATGGTGAAGGAGGATCCATCTGCAAGGGGTGGGAGTGGTGGGGGGACTAGGGGAGATGCCTTGGTCTGGTAAGGGGAGAGGGAGTTAGAAGAGACCAAGATATTGCCTCAGGGTATAGTCTAGTGGAAAATCAGCTGGAGTCCAGTGGGGCCAGCCTGGGGCCAAGTGCCTTAAGGAACTAGGTTAGGCCTGTGTGTCTACCCCCATTCATCCCAGAATCCACTAGGCCAAGTGCCCCCACCTCGTAAACCTAGACCTCTGTGGGCCACCTCCCACTCTCCTCAGGCTGCAGTCAAGCCAGGCCTAACTGAAGTCATAGAGGGTCCCCATTACATCTACTCATTGTTGACTTAATATCTTTAAGTCCACTGTCGGTCCACTCGCTCTTAATTTGACCCAATCAATAATATGGAACCACAGGTCTGAGTTTTCTATTTATATTTCTTTCTAAACTATGTTTAAAAATATTTAACTCTTGAGTTAAACATTCATTCAGATACTCCTGAAATCTTGCATTCATCAGTGGTACTTGAACTTGAACCATCTTTTGCAAAATATTAGAATAGGCCATTTTAGCAGTGTTGAGAACAATGGTAAAAATGAAGTAGAGGAGATTTGTCTTGTTTATCCTCAGAAGGATTATTGATAAGGAGACCTTGGTAGGGCTATCTTGTCACAGATAACTAATACCTGAGGAATGTATATATCTATATTTCATTTGTTAAACTCTTTTTATGGTGCTTGTAGTGTGAAGACATTGATCTAAATGACTTTCAAATCTTTACTCATTCAGATCCTCTTAACAGTCCTGTGGAACAGGTAGTAATATCTTCAGCTTATAGATGAGGAAACTAGAGCACAGAAAACTTAAGTAACTTCCTTACCCAAGGTCACACAGCTAATAAGTGGCAGAGCTTATTAGGAACCTGGCTCCAAAGTCTAAGGCATTAATCATACAACTGTAGGTATTATTATCACCATCGCTTAACAAATACATCCTCTCTGAGGGAGATGCTGAGCCTTGGCAAACTGTGGAGGTGACAGGGCTGCCACCTATCCTAGCCCCATGATAAGGGGTCAGACAGGGCCCTGTGACCCCTGCTGACAGATGGGGAAGTGGGTCAGGGAAGGAAGGCTGCTGTCTCCTCCAGCTCTCCAGGCTCACTTACCAAGTGAGTAAGGTCTGAGGACTCCCAACCCCCATCTGGTCTCCAGAGGTATTTGTCAAGCTCAGGGTAGGCCCAGTCCTCTTAAATTATTTGAGATATAGAAATAAACATTAAACATTTTCAGCACTGAGGAGATGGTGGATGGGAGAACAAGGTACCACCACTAGAGGGGCCGTGAGCTGTGGGAGGAATAGCATGGGCCACTAAGTGTGTTGCTCCTGGCTCCACATCACACACTTGCCTGTCTCTGGGCCTTCTACCTGAAGTACTTCTCTTCCCTGATCTTCTCCAGGTTCAAATTCTTTCCTCTGAGTTGTACTTTTTAAAGTTATGGCACTTATTCCTATTTATCCTTACACCTACCCTGGTCGTAGCCAGGACCCTACACTAATACTCAGCAGATGTCTGTCCAGTAAACACATCTGCTGCCCTTTCAGCTCTGATCTCTTCCACTTGCAGTATACTCACATGAACTGTGCATTGGTCAGTAACCTCCATGAACAGGGCAGGTTCCAGGTCTGATGCTTCTTCAGCACCATGCAACAGCAAGCACAAAACTTAAAGCCCACTGGGCTCTCGGCAAAGGCTTTTTAGTCGATTGAACAATGAGTGATAAGCAGATTTGTTTGGTCCCTGTCCTTAGAAACTTACACCTAGTTAGAAAGAGAGTATGGATCCCGCAAAAAATTGACAAAGTTAATAACTAGTTTTTAGTGTATGTCTGGCCTATGTCAGGCATTTACAAATCTCACTTACCAGGATGAGAAAAGGCTTGGAAAAGTTAAGAAAATTCTCTAAGAGAGGAGGGCTAATAAGTGGCAGAATTGGAATTTGAACCCAGATTTTTCTGATTCCTCTTGGTATGTGTGTATTTGTGAGTGTATAAGCGCTGTGGAACCCTGAGCCATTCAGCTCCACAGTGGGAGGGGGAGGCCTGTCTGAAGTCCCCCAAGGCTGCTGAAGATCAGCTGATCATTGTGAGTCAGCAGAGCCTTGGTGACCTGTCGGTGACCCCCAGAAAGAGAGGAAACATCTGTAGTGTGGAGCTGTGTGGTGGGGCCTCCAGGGGGAGGGGGTGGTGGGAACCCAGCAGCAGTTTCCCACCACAGGGGTGCTGAGACCCTCTCCAGAGAGGGTCGCAGTCCTTGCTCCATGGCCCACATACCTCCTTTCAATTTGAGCCCCAATTCCCGTGGGGGTTACAAGCTTGGGGTCCCCTGCGATCAGAGTGGCTAGTGGGTCTGAGCTATGTCTATGTCTCTGTTTTCTAGTCTGTTCTGTCTCCAGGCTTTCTGTGGTGAGCCTATGCAGGATGATTTGAGCTGCTTTCTTGGGGTCGCTGTGGGGTTGGAAACGTCGGAGGAGTCAGAGCTGAATGGGAGGGAGGAGGGCATGCTCAGCCTTTGAACTTGGCTGTGAGTCCAGGAATGTGAGCATCACTAGGAGCCAAGCACGTCCCTAGCTCTGGGAAGGAGCTGCTTTAAGAACAAGGGAGGACTGGGCTTCCCAGCCTCCTTCCTGTCTTCCCTCTCTGCTTGGAGCTCCAGGCACATGTCTTCCTCTTGCCCTGGATCACAGCTTTATAGCTCTGTGCTCCTGAGATGTCTGATGCAGTCTGGCAGGGGGTGGAGGGGGGGGGTGGTCAAGGTTTTCTGTTCCCTTTCCTGGCCCCAAACTATAGTTATGATCTGACTTCTTGCCTCACTGATGCACCAGGCCAAACTGCATGCCTGAGACTATATGCTACCTGCCTCGCCTATGTCCTGCATCACTGTCTCCCACACCCCCACCCTCCACACAGACCCACATCACCTCCAACACTGTACGGGAAATAATGTGAAATACCCTGGGAAGAATATAGGCTTTGGAGTCAGATAAGCTTGGAGTGGAATTCCAGCCCTGACATCTAGTTCTGTAACCTCGAACAAGTTTCTGATTCTTTCTATTTTCTTATTCATAAAATCAAGATCATATTGTCTATACAGTGAGGCTGATGTGAAGATTATACATTCTAACTGTAGGGGGATAAGATGGTATAATAGGTAAGAATAAAGGCTTTGGAATCAGGCTGACCAGGATTCAAATTCCAGCTCTTCATTTATCAATTGTGTGACTGTAGGTGAATTTCTGAACCTGCCGAGCCTTGGTTTCCCCATCTGTATCTATTTTACAGCGTTGCTGAGAATATTAAATAAAGTGATACTAGTAAACTGCTTAGCTTAGTGCTTGACCCATAGTACATGCTCAGTAAATGAAGGCAGTTGTTACCAGTGTCGTAGTGGCAGTGGGGGATGTTTGGTAAATGCCTTCTCCCCTTCTCTTTCCTAATTTCCTTCAATTCCTCATCCACACCTCCCAGAAGAATGTCAGGATTCCCAACTGAGAAGAGGACAGTGATAAGGGTGTGTTTTTTCCTAGTTTAGGTTCAGAGGGAAAGAGAAAATCTAGCACAGGAGAGCCATGTTGGGGGATGAGTACAGCTCTTGAGATTCTAGGTGTGACTGTACTCATTGGGGACAGTGATTTATCAGGTGTACTTGATGGCCAAGAGGATGCCCCAGGAAGGCAGCTGGCCTGGGCATGGCTGGTGTCTTTCTGGTGGTGATAAAGAACTGTTCCTCGGTCACCCCACCTCTGCTCCCATTTGAACAGGCTTATACTGGTGGTTTGATTCCCAGTTCAGGGTACAGGAGCACTGAGAGTTGGGGTTGTATTTCCCACCCCAGAAAGCTCACTCTGACACTGTCCTTTCCCTGCAGAGTGGTGAAGGAGGAGATCTCGGACGACAATGCCAAGCTGCCCTGCTTCAATGGCCGGGTGGTGTCCTGGGTAAGGAGCTCGCCTCAACCCTCTCTCCACCTGCATTCCTGCAGTGAGCTGGATGGAGGAAAGGCATTGCTGAGACCATGGTTTGATGCTTCAGTATCTGAATCTTCCTTGAGTTTTCTAAGTGAACTTTCTCACTCCAGATTCTATAGCCTTGGTGAAAAGTGGGAAAGTGGTGGGAAGGGGGGAAAGAAAGAGACAGAAGTACACACTGGAGACAAAAAACGTCTCCTATGTCCTTTGTGGCACTTGTCATGTTTCCTTCTGTCACTTGCCGACCTCTACTTTGGACCTCTGACCCTTGTTCTCTGCCCCGATTCCATTTCGCCAGCCCATGCATTTCAGCCTCCTCGTCGTCTCATCTGACCTTGCAAAGTCCCGTCTCTTCTTCCCCCATGTCCCCTGCTTCATTCTTCCCAAGGCTTCATGCCCTGCCATAAGCCAGCTAGCCCCTTTTCCCTGGGGCCTCTGCGCCCCAGTACCCATGTATCTCCTCCCCATCAGCTGGTGTCGGCTGAAGGCTCACACCCAGAACCAGCGCCCTTCTGTGCTGACAGCCCAGCAGAACTACCACCACCCATGGAGCGCACGGGAGGCATTGGCGATTCCCGGCCCCCATCCTTCCAGTGAGTGTGACTGAAGGGTGGGGAGAACCCCTGGGGAGGCTGCCTCAGCTCAGCTCAGGGCTGGGGGAGGGGGGCCCCAGCCTGCGCCCTCCCCCACCAAGTCCCCTCTTCCCTACAGCCCTCACGCTGGTGGGGGCAGCCAGGAGAACCTGGACAATGACACAGAGACCGACTCCTTGGTGTCTGCCCAGCGAGAGCGGCCACGCCGGAGGGACGGCCCAGAGCACAGTGCGTCTTCCCTGAACCCACACCTTCCCCACCCCCAGCATCTCTCCCTGCCCCTTCCACCCAGCTACCCACCTCTCTGCCTTCCTTCCTGAGCTCTGGATAGACCTGGCCCCAGTACAGCCCCTGGCTCGTCCCTCTCGCCTCCTTCTCTCCCTCATCAAGCACTGTGAGCCCAGCTGCCTCCATCCCCTACAGCAACCCGGCTGAATGGAACTGCCAAGGGGGAGCGGCGGCGAGATCCAGGGGGTTATGACAGCTCCTCGACCCTGATGAGCAGCGAGTTGGAGACCACCAGCTTCTTTGATTCAGATGAGGATGACTCCACCAGCAGGTGGGGCTTTGGTTTCCTGGGTACTGCAGGACAGGTGACCCGTAGGAGCCCTGAACCCTGAGGATGCTGGGCCCCTGGGCAGGATGTGGGCTTTGTGGTGGGGACCCGGGCCCTGCGATGCCTCTTATGGGATAGGGCTGGGCCAGCCTGGTGGGGAACGACTGTGGGCCCCACAGGTTCAGCAGCTCCACAGAGCAGAGCAGCGCCTCACGCCTGATGAGAAGACACAAGCGGCGGCGGCGGAAGCAGAAGGTTTCCCGGATTGAGCGGGTATGGGACTAAGACGCTGGGGTGGGTGGAGCAGACTGAGCCTCCCTGCCCCGAGCAAGATGAGAGTTTGTGATTCCTTTGATCCCTCCCCTTGGGTCAGGGTATAGCATCCCAGAGGGGAGGTGGTGCTGAGGGCTACCCTTGAGGAGGAGCTCTGTGGGAGCAGTGAGTTCCTGCCACCCCTGCCTGCTGCTCAGGGCCTCTGTCTATTCCAGTCTTCGTCCTTCAGCAGCATCACGGACTCCACCATGTCACTCAACATCATCACCGTCACTCTCAACATGGGTGAGTCTCGTGAAATGACATTGTCCAGCACCTGCTATGTGCCAGACACTGGGAGTGCGGAGAGACACACGACATGTTCCCTTCCCTCAAGGAGCTCTCTTTCAACAGCACAAACAGCTACATGCGCTGATTCGTTCAGTATCTCATGATCAGAGCTATGACAAAGATAAGCACTATGGAAGCAGAGAATGGCATCCAGGAAGACTTCCTAAAGGAAGTGATTCTGGTGCTTCCCCACTTCCCGCTTTCCATCCCTTGCCTTCTTGGTCTCTGATTTCTGCCCTAGGTGCTCTTCTTTAGGACGTAGCAAGATATAGTGAAAAGAGCCCCAACTTTGGAATTTAAATCTGAGTTTGAATCCTAACTCTGCCACTTCATGGCTTAGAAAAGTCACTCAAATTCTCTGCACGTCAGTTGTCTGCTCTGTAAAATAGGACTGAGTCCATACCTCATGGCCAACAAGGATTAAGTGAAAGTATGTTTGAGTATGCAGAATACAGTGCCTGATTCAAGTTCAATAAATATTAGTTCTTGTCCCTTTCTACCCTTTTCTAATGAGGGGCTTAGAATTTGGGTAGGAACATTGTTCCCATCTTAAGTTCTTATTACTCCCTGTAGAAAAGTATAACTTCTTGGGCATCTCCATTGTGGGCCAAAGCAACGAGCGTGGTGATGGAGGCATCTACATTGGCTCCATCATGAAGGGTGGGGCCGTGGCTGCTGATGGACGCATTGAGCCAGGAGACATGCTATTACAGGTACCATTGCCCACCCTGGGTGGTGGTATGGATAGAGATGGGGAAATGTCCGCAACCTCTGTATCCTGCTTCTTGGTATGGGGAAGACCCCCTAGCCCACCAAACTTAGCTTCCCTACCCAGCTTCCCTATCATCTCCCCAGCACAGCTGCACATTCCTCTCCTGCTCCTTTTTCCCAGGTAAACGAGATCAACTTTGAGAACATGAGTAACGATGATGCGGTTCGAGTACTTCGGGAAATTGTACACAAACCAGGGTATGGATGGCACTGGGGAGGAGAGGGCAGATATTTCTGGCTAACAGGGAAGGGGCTTGGTTTGGCCTCCACACATCCTGCCCTCACTAGGGACACCCTTGCTTTCAGGCCCATCACCTTGACTGTAGCCAAGTGCTGGGACCCAAGTCCACGTGGGTGCTTCACACTGCCCAGGAGTAAGTGGATGGGAGACTGGGCCCTAAAGCTGGTGCTTAGCATACATGAGCCCTGTCTCTCCTTCCTTCTGTGTTACCCCAAACCTCACACCTACCCTATTGGGCCAGGCAGTGGGCAGGGCGGGTAGTCCCTGACTCCTCATCCTCCCTGCAGGTGAGCCCATCCGGCCCATTGACCCCGCGGCCTGGGTCTCCCACACTGCAGCCATGACCGGCACCTTCCCTGCCTACGGCATGAGCCCTTCCCTGAGCACCATCACCTCCACCAGCTCCTCCATCACCAGCTCCATCCCTGACACAGAGCGTGAGTGTCCAACCCCGACCCCTGGGCCCAGCACATAGGACCAGCTGGAAGGGACTGCTGAAGGCCCACCTGGAGACTCTTGCTTGAGCATCCAAGGGAGCTGGAGAGGAGAGTCAATTTGTTCCAGCCACCTCACTCTGCAGTTTCCCTCAGTGGACATTGACCCTCACCAAACAGTTTGCTTCTGAACCTGTACTGAGTACCCAGTAAGCCTCAGTTTCCTCTTGTAAAATGGGACTGATGATATGCACTTTACCAGGCTTCTGGAGTTTAATAAGAGGATACAAATAAAACATAAAGCACAGTATGTGGCATAAAATAAGCGCTCAGTAAATTACTGCCTTTCTATTATCACAGCACACATTATACACTGGGCTAAGCACTTTCATTTACATTATTGAATTCTTTCTTCAAATATCCTTGTAAAGTAGATATTAAAGTCCCTATTTTTACAGAAGCGGAAACTGAGTGTCCAAAATGTTGGTAATTTGCCTGACATTGGTCCATGTTATTAGGCAGTAGAGCTGGAATGCAAACTCCTGTGTACTTGACTCCATAGCCCCTTTCTGCCTCACCATTCTACCTCCCACCCCCAGGCCTAGACGACTTCCACCTGTCCATCCACAGTGACATGGCCGCCATAGTAAAAGCCATGGCCTCCCCTGAATCCGGGCTAGAGGTCCGTGACCGAATGTGGCTCAAGATTACCATCCCCAACGCTTTCATCGGTGAGAGGGCCCCATGGTGGGATGAAGGAGGGGTGGAAAGTGGTGGGGCGGGGCAGGCCAGGAACCAAGAACTCCCTTGGGCCACCCCTTGGAGTTGGAATCAGCACCAGCCTCATGGCTCCTGTGAGGTCAAAAGAGCCCAGGTCTGATGGGCCTCCCAATCAAGTGGCAGCCTTGCCCTCAGGCTCGGATGTGGTGGACTGGCTGTACCACAACGTGGAAGGCTTCACTGACCGGCGAGAGGCCCGCAAGTATGCCAGCAACCTGCTGAAAGCCGGCTTCATCCGCCACACTGTCAACAAGATCACCTTCTCCGAGCAGTGCTACTACATCTTTGGCGACCTCTGTGGCAGTACGTGCCTCCCCAACCTCCTTGCCCCATCTCCTGGTTGAAAGTGGGAGTGGCCTGGTTGTATGTGGCAGCAGACTCTAGGGAACCCAGATTAGGGGGCAGCAGAGGTGGGGGAGCCTCAAGACCTGACAGTTCTGTGTGGCAGAGGCAGAGCCCAGACCAGTTCTTAGGCAGAGCCCAGACCAGTTCTTCTTCACTGCCCTGCCCAGCCCCCTTGGGGCTGGCATTTTCTGAGTGCCTCCTCTGTGCCTGGCACCATGCTGGTTGTTTCTAAAGCATCACTCAGTCCTCAAAACCTCCCTAAAGCCCTTGGGGAGATGATCCTGTTTTCAGATGAGGAAACTGAGACTTACATAAGTTAAGTAGTCCACTCCAGGTTTCACAGCTGGAAGCAGAGAAGCAAGACCTCGAGTCTAGGTCTTTCTGGCTCCAGCCTTTGTTCTTCCCACCACATCAGGGCTGTCCTTGGTGTACAGTGCTGCAAAAACATTGCCCCAGCAAAGCCAATCAGAGTTCCTAGTCTTGGTTCCTGCTCACCCTCACAGCACCAAGCAGATTCCACTAAGACAGGAACTGGAGCTGGCCTGAGGCCTCAAGTCCCCAGCCTCCTCAGACCCCTGAAGGTGGCAGCTGTGCCTCACACTGAAGCTGGAAAAGCTGACAGGGCCATCCTGTAGAGGACTCTGCAAGCCGTACCAAGGGATCTGGACTTGATCGTGAGAAAGTACAAAGCCAGTGAGGGTTCTTAAGCAGGAGAAGTCTGCAGGGAAGCCCCATTCTCCAGAGCCTGTGGACAACCCTCGGAGAAGGGAGTCCTCAGGGCAGGACAGCAAGGCTCAGGGTTAGGAGCTGAAGCCCAGCCTCAGAAGCCAGTTCTCTCTCTGCTTCAGATTAGGCTCAATGGCCTGGAAAGGCTGTTCTTGAGGAGCACAGGTCCCTGCATGGCGGGGAGTGTCCCTGGCCCTCAGCAACTCCAGCATGGCCCCACGGAGGAGGAGTAATAGATGCATAAGGCTTTGGAGTTAGACAGTTCCAAGTTCAAATTTTAGCTCCATCCTTACTGTGTGAACATGAGTACGTGACACAGCCTCTCAGTGCCTCAATTTCTTGATCTGTAAGATGGAGCTAACAGTAAAACCTATCTCAAAGGTTTGTTTTGAGAATAATATAAGCTAATGTATATAATGCTTTGGGGCTTCTCTGGTGGCTCAGACGGTAAAGTGTCTGCCTGCAATGCAGGAGACCTGGGTTCGATCCCTGAGTTGGGAAGATCCCCTGGAGAAGGAAATGGCAACCCACTCCAGTACTCTTGCCTGGAAAATTCCATGGACAGAGGAGCCTTGTAGGCTACAGTCCATGGGGTCACAAAGAGTTGGACATGACTAAGTGACTTCACTTTACTTTATATAATGCTTTTAGCGCCATGTTTGGCCCACAGTAATTGCTCTTAAAAAAAAAAAAAGCTTACCCATTTATCATATATTTAATTGATTCTAAGAAGAACATTTTTTCACATTTCATATCTGAAATTGGAGTGCATCTTATAATCAGTGACTCCTTAGGCTCAATCAAATATAATTATCATCATTTAGGAGAAGGCAGCGCTGGCCCCAAACCTTCAGAGGTACATAAAGCTTCTCAGGATAGCTGTGGCTTTTGCTCAGAGATACTCTTCCATCGCAGGGGCATTCTGGTCTTCTACCCATGGACCAAGTCACCAGAAGCCGAGCTCAGGGAGTTGCTGACAGACAGGCCTTTTCCTTTGTACTGGCCAAGGTCTCCTCAGCTGCGAACATGGCAAGCTCAAAGGGAAGAGCTGGGGACTTGGGTAGCCCAAAAACACAGTCACTGCCCACCGGACAACAGCCTGGTGGCTGAAGTAGTCACCAAGTCAGCTGCCTGCTTCCTACCACCACCACCACTCATGCTAGCTACTGGCCTTGACCAGTGGATGGTTTGGCTGGTAGACTTCATAGGCTGCCTCAGCTCCCTCTCCTGACTCCTTCTCCCATATAAGTTTGGGTCAGCTCCCTTAAGGGCTGGGATCAAAGGACTCAGTCTGGATCCAACAACTGGCCCCTAGGGAAACTGCAGCTCTCTCAGAGCTCTGGGACCTGGTACAGATGGGGTGTGATTTTAGTCCTAAGTGAGTGAGGAGGGCAAAATTTCACCTAAATTTCCCCAGACTACTTTTTTCTTACTAATGCCCTCATCTGGAAAGGTAAAGTTAGCCACTCTGAGCTTCTACAGTTTGGGTTGGCCTCTTCTGGCTGATCATTTAACCTCTCTGGACTTCACTGTCTCATCTGGAAAAGAAAACTGTGACTAAACATACCTTCCTCATAGGGTTGTGGTAACATTTTCATGAGATGAAGTGCTTTGTATTGTGCCTGATAAGGGGCAGGTGCGCAACACCTAGTGGCTATCTGGTATTTCAGCCTTCCATACTCCCCTCCCTACCTTTTACCCTCTAAGTGAACTGAGGAGAAAATTGCCAAATAAGAATTTTGCCCCTTCTTCCAGCCACTGAGGAAGCAGGAGAAACTGGGCACCTGACCATCTGAAGTGGTGACTCGCACTTTCCAAGGGACAGTTTTCTCTGGGCCTGTCTCTGCAGGGTCTCCCTTCCTACCACCTCTGGAGGGTGGCAAGAGGGGGTCTGAAGGAGCGAGAGATCTCTGGCCTATCCCTCCTCCCATTCTGGCAGCCACTGCTGTTACTGTCTTCCCAAGCACATCCACCCGACCTAGGCTGGGGATCTCTCTGCTGACTAAGGGTGCCGAGGCATGGGACAGACCCCGCTCATGTATCCTCGGCTTCCCTCCACAGACATGGCCAACCTCTCCCTCCACGATCACGACGGCTCCAGCGGCGCCTCCGACCAGGACACGCTGGCCCCTCTGCCGCACCCAGGGGCCGCCCCTTGGCCCATGGCTTTCCCTTACCAGTACCCGCCGCCCCCACACCCCTACAATCCGCACCCAGGCTTCCCAGAGCTGGGGTACAGCTATGGCGGGGGCAGCGCCAGCAGTCAGCACAGTGAAGGTAATGAGGAGAGGGCCATGGGCGAGCCCCAGGCTTCCTCCGCAAGCTCTGAGTGTCTCCCACCCCATCCCTGCCTGTCCCCTGCAGGCAGCCGGAGCAGTGGCTCCAATCGTAGCGGCAGCGACCGGCGGAAGGAGAAGGACCCTAAGGCCGGGGACTCGAAGTCGGGCGGTAGCGGCAGCGAATCGGACCACACGACCCGCAGCAGCCTGCGGGGGCCGCGGGAGCGGGCGCCCAGCGAGCGCTCGGGTCCTGCCGCCAGCGAGCACAGCCACCGCAGCCACCACTCGCTGGCCAGCAGCCTGCGCAGCCATCACACGCACCCAAGCTACGGCCCCCCTGGGGTGCCCCCTCTCTACGGGCCCCCCATGTTGATGATGCCCCCACCGCCCGCGGCCATGGGGCCCCCGGGAGCCCCTCCGGGCCGCGACCTGGCCTCTGTGCCCCCTGAACTGACCGCCAGCAGACAGTCCTTCCGCATGGCCATGGGAAACCCCAGTGAGTTCTTTGTGGATGTGATGTGAGCAGGGCCCCTCCCCCACTACCATCCTACCCCGCCCCAGGCTGGCTGCGTTCCTCTCTCCGTCCGTCTTTTTTATTTTGTCTGGTACCTGAAAGGGAAATAAATGGAACTAAATGCAGGCGCGCTAACTGCTCGCTGGGTGCAGCGAGGGTGGGGTGCACCCACTGATCGGTAATGCAGCCCTTAACCTGCCACCGGCCCCAGCTTGTCCTTCTGCCCACTAACTGCTGTGCAGGACTTCCCAGGATCGTTCATGTCCCTGGGACCCAAATGGCTAGTGCTGCTCCTTACCCTCCCCCCGCCCCCACACATATTTCAAGAATTGACCCCAGAGGTGCCCTTGAAGACCTGCATACCCCTCATCCCCGCCTCCCCTCTCCCTGTGCCTTTTCACCGTTCATTTAGCGGCATCATCCCTCTATTAACCTTACATGCATGCCAATTTCTTGATTTTTTTTCCCTTAATACTGACACCAAAAAAGACTTGCTTCATCTGCCCCTCCTCCTAACTGTCCCCACCTACTGCTTCAGCCGTACACCCTAGAGCTGCAGTCCCCTCCAGTAACCGTCCATACTAACCCTGCCTGCACTCAACCTTAGCAGAAGCCCAGAGGGCCCCCTCAATTTCTTGAACTGTTAGCAGATCCCAGGGAGCATCTCTGCTCTGCACCCAAACCTACCCCCACCCCATGCCTGCCCCATGTGCTGGTTCCTTCAGACCCCTAACCCTACTAATAATCAGCAGGCTCATCTCACCTCTGGGCTGAAACATTTCTTTTCTTTCTTTTTTCCTCCCCCAATTTTTCCTGGGCCTGGAGCAGCCAAGAATTTCGGGCTGTTTGACTTTCTGTGAGTCCCCAGCGAGAGGAGGCCCAGCCTCTGAGGAGACCAGGAACCTTGCTTCAGCAGCCCCTCAGGGCTTCCCAAGGATATTCAACCCCCATACCCACACTTCAACAAACATGTCAAGTCACTAGACTTCTGAGAATCACCCCAGCCTCTCACCCACCTACGAGAGCCTCTATTCCCCTTTCCCCAGAGAGTTCTCTGCTCTCTCATTCCCTCTCTCCCTTTTTCTCCCTCTCTCTGTGTCCGTCTGTCTCTCTCACACACACACACATGTGCCTATGCAAATTCACTTAAGCCTCAGGGCTGGTCCCTGACCAGAGGGCTGGACCCTCTCCCAGTCCTCTCCCAGGTTGTGGGGCTGGTCCCCTGACTTTTCTCTTTTCATAGCCGTCACACCTCTCACACATGTCCCCATCATCTTCCTATCTGAATAAAGCCCATAAGCTGGGCTCAGGCTGGACTTGGCACAAGACACCCCAGGCAACTAACAGATTGTTCTCATTCTGCCCCCCGCCCCCCACACCCTTCTGTGTTTTCACAGTCATCATAACTCAGAGCAAGGTTGGGCAGGAGGACTTCTGGGACTTCCAGATAGAGTGCCAAATTTTGTGGGGTGTTTTTTTTTCTTAACCTTATTCTCCCATTTAAACAAATCATGACTTTCTCTATGAGGCTCTTCTATAAATTCTGGCTCACCTAGGCTTCCATATTTTTAGACCTGGGGTGTCAAGAATAAGATGAAGTCCTAAGCTCCAAGTTTTGGTGTAAACCAGGATAGGGGTATTTTGGCATTCATTCATTTAACAAATATTCCCGGGGTGGGGGGGTGCATGAGGGCTGTGTTAGAAGTGTAACTCAGTCTTGTCTTCCTTCTGGGAGCTCTAGGTTTGCTCCCAGCCCAGACCATGGTTGCCTCTAGCCACTACTATGGGGCTGCCTCCTGTACTTCTCTTCCTCCTCTGATTCTGCCATCTCTGACTCTCTTGAGGATTCTTCCACTATTGCTCATGCCTTCAGGGTCCCTGTATTCCATCATTGGTCCACTTCTCTTTCCTCTCTATTTACTCCCAAAATAGAATCATCCATCCTGATGTCAACTGCCATTGATACGCTGGTGATTCCCAAATATATATCTCTAGCCCTAACTGCCCTTTACCTTTAGATCTGTATTTTTATCATCCACTGGATATCTCCTTGAACATGTCCAGATGGACTCAATTCTTTTCCTCCCTACCGCCAAGTATGTTCCTCCTGAATTCCAATCCTGGTTACGTTCATCACTCTTCATAGGCTCACCAGCTAGAAACATTTATGGGCTTAAATTCCTTCCTGTATTTTACTAGTCAGTGTATCATATCCATTCCACTCCAAGTTTCCTTGGATTTGGCCCTTCTTCTCCCTTCTGCCTCTACTCTAGTTCACAGGAGCTTGGGATTTGGAGTCAGGTTGTTCTGGGTTTGAATCCCAACTCTGCTACTTTTTGGTTGCGTGATAAGAGAGTTATTTAATCTCTCTGAGCCTCAGTTTCCTCATATGTAAAATGATAATAATACCTACCTCACAGGGTTGTTGTGAGGACTTAAATTAGATATTGTACGAAAAGTGCCTAGCACAGTGCCTGGCACACAGTAGAATAGGTGCTCAATAAATGGTAGCTATTATTATTACTACTACTACTATTATTATCATTATTATTTACTCTAAATTGGTAGGGGGATAGGGTATGTATTGAGGACAAAGCTCCTAGAAAGGTAGGAGTAAGCCTTGAGTGCTGGTTCAAGAATTAGACGTGCCTGTATTCAGTCACTTAATGGCTTAAGACTGTGACCCTGATCTTTAGGAGGTCAGATTTTCATCCTGCCCACATTCTGGTTTCTAGCAGGACAATGCTAGCAATAGTAGAGTTTGCAACTAGGTTTCCCCTTTCTTGCCCTTGCTTCCTCTCATAATGGGTTCGGCCCTGCCTAGGGAAGGCAGCATGGTATCTCTCCCTACAGAAAGAGAAGAGCCAACAGATGTTCTTCAGGTCCTGTAAGAACCAGCCAGGACTTTCATGTACCAGGATTGGCTCTGTCTCCTCTTAGCTTGGATATGAAGATTATTCATCAAAGAAGGGATTTCAAATCCCATGTCCAGTTAAACTCAACTTGCCAACAGTTTTCTAAGCCACATATATGCCTGTCAGTAGAAGACACACAGGTCCTGACCTTGAGGACCTCACAGTCCCATAGGTATATAGTTTTCAAACATATTTTGAAAAAATTTTAGCTTTTCTTCTAAATATTTGATTCCTTACTCCCTGCCCCCTACCTTAAGTCTTGATTTCTGGGAAAAGGCTCATGTCTAGAACAAATATACAATGCAAAAAAGCTTGGGAAAATCAGAGGTGATGTTACAAAGCAGTTAACTCAGCACAAACACTTTTACTGCCAAGTCCTCTGTGTGTGTGTGTGTATAAAATGACAATCAAAAAAAAAAAATGACAATCAGTCCTCGGACTCTGGAGACTGAAAGGCCTACAGCAATCCAAGGCTTAACAGATGGGCTTCAACAAATGGCAGTAATCCTGAGGCTCTCACAAACTCTGAAAGAGGAACAAGAGGGATTGCAGAGACTACAATTCCCAGAATGCTCATTGAGGAAAAGGAAGTGAGCATAGCAGCGTATTCTAGATTGTGTATTTCGGGTGGGGCCGAATAAAGCCACTCCTACTCCTCCCCCAAGGCACGCCTAGCCCCTCCTTCGGGTCTCGGAGGCTGTCGGTAGTTGTAGTTCTACCAAACTTAGGGCGCTTAAAATTGTAAGAGATAAGGCCGAGAAGCCTGTCGGGATTTGTAGTCTGCGCCGTCGGCGGATGCGCACGCGCAGCTGAGGCCGGGGCGGGGCCGCAACACTGCAGTGAAAGCCGAGGCAGCGGGCAGGAGAGCAGGGGGCGGGCGGACATCTTGGGATCCGGAGAGTGGCCGGGCCGGCCGAGCAGAGGGCCGCGGACACCAGGTGAGCTCGGGATCTGGCCATACGGGGTGAGGGAGGACGCCTCCCTGGGTGCCCAGCTTTGCCGTTCACTGCACTGAGCTACGCGGAAAGCAGCCCACATCCGGGAGTGGCCTCAGCCTTCAGATCAGAGAGGGAGCTGACGGCGGGGCGGGGGCGCCCGGGGCGCGGTTGCAGGACGGGCGCGGAGCGGTGCCCTCCACCTGACCCGCCCGGAGCTTCGCTTGAGAGGGAGACCCTCCTGGAATCCTCCCAGACAGGGCCGCCGCGCGGCGGCCCCCTGAGATCGTGACAGCCTCCTAGCCCTCGGCGCCTACTCCTCCCGGGGCAAGGACAATTCCCCCATCCCCTAGGACAGTGACACCTCCTTGTGCCGCCTCCTTGGACTGTGACAAGCTCCCCACCCTGCGGCACCCTCTCCTTGCAGTTGAGTGACAGGCCCCGCACGCCGTGGAACCATCTTTACCCGTGATGTCCTCCCCAGGGCGAAAAGCCCACCACCCGCGCATGCTTATACACCTGTATCCCACAGCAAGCTACGTCTCCCCAGCTTTCCCTTATTCACCACTGTTAGTCTTACCCTGCCGTTATTTCCTCTTCAAAGTCTTGGCTTTTGCCATACTGGAAACTCTTTTCTCCAGGTGCCCCCACCAGCTCTGTTGCTGCTGTAGGCTCACCTGAGTACACTGCCTGGCTGTTGCTGCCAGTCTATCCCCTAACTAAATATTCCTTTCCTGACCTGGGCCCCCATCTCTGCTTCTCTGATGCCCTGAGCTCCCTACCACCTGATCCCTGTGAACTTGCTTCTTTGCCCAGGGCTCTACCTCCATTTTGCGCTTTATCTCCTGGTCTCTGGGACTGAGGAATGGGAAGTGTCCACCACTTTGAGAGACTACTCATTCTCTCAGCCTGGTAAACCTTGACTGCTATAGTAATACACTTTATTTTCCAGTTTAGAAACTGGAAGTCTCCTAAACTGCCCCCCTTGTGAAATTAACACCAAGGGTAATTCAGGAAATCTAGAACTAAATTAACCCTTTTTCTCTTTGCAAACAATCTAAATTAGCTGAACCCAGATAATTTAGATAATTCCGGGATTCTGCCACTTGTTTTTAGGCATTCAGGTCAGAAATGAATTATGTTGCAGGTCTGGAATCAGAATTTCCACTGGAAGGATCTCTTGATTTTATGAACCTGCTCTCCCCTTCCTCCCTACACCCCTGTATTCTTATTTACTTGGGAGCTGAGGGGGAGCTTCTCTGTTTAAAAGAGAGATGGTCAGAAATAACTAACAAGCTGCTTGGGTCACTGAAGTATAGTCTGTCAGGGCTACTCTGCTCTTTTACTTTTTTATTTGACTGCCTGGGAGAGGTTGGAGCTGCACTCCTGGATTGATGTCAGGGCCTTAGGGCTGTCTTCTCTCCTCCCCAATCCCTGCACACCCTTTCCTAGAATGTTTAGACTTTTGTGAATTAGAGAGCCAGAAGTTCAGGCCTTGCTGCCTTCTCTGAAGAGTAGATGAGCCTGAGAGACTAGTGATCCTAAAGCTTTGCCTGGGGGCCCGAGGCCTGAACCAGCTGGAGTAATTCCTACCGCCATTCCTGCAGCCGCAGGCAGGCCTTTGCAGTGACTCACCAGCTAGAGCCTGATTGAGAGTCTGCACAGGAAGGGGCCTTGCTGAGCTCAGCGCTGTGAAAGGGGGAGGGGGCTACTCTGGGCTCAGTCCCAGGAAAGGGAGGGTCAGAATGGCCTTAGAATCCTGGGCCTAAGTCCCTCTCCTTTTCTCCCTTCCAGTGTGGGATAAACAGGAACTAGGGCCTGGTGAAAGGGAGGGGCTTGGCTGAGAGGACTGTAGGGTCACTTGCTGGAGGGTTGAGTCAGGAAAAAGGCCCAACCAGTGACCTGGACAGCCCCTTAGGGGACAGTGCCTTGGATTCTGCCGCCTTCCCTTACCCTGCCCCCACCTATCCTAGGTCTCTTCTCAGAGCGATGGGCTGCGAAGACTGAGCTGCCGCCATGATTGGAGGCTTATTCATCTATAATCACAAGGGGGAGGTGCTCATCTCCCGGGTCTACCGAGATGACATCGGGTGAGTTCCTTGGCTGAGCCAGCTGTGCCCCCACTCCCATCCCTCCTCTCCAGCATGCAGGGCCAGGTCTCTTTCTCCCAGAGGCTTGATCTGGACTATTCCCCACCCCTTGCTGCATCCTGGATGCTCAGCTATTACAGCCTGGTTCCCATTAGGTCTGGTGGTATTGGCCAGGCAGCGAGTTGTTGGCCACTCAGTGGGACCTGTGAAATGGCAGGACCCCCACAGTCCTAGGAACTCTTACCCTTGCTGCCTCCTGTTCCCCTTAGTGACAGACCTAGTTTCTGGAGATGAGTGCTTCTGCTTGAACGGTTGATCCCTCCTTTGAGAAGGAAGATCTGTCTCTAGTGGGTGGAATTAGTGGTCAGGCTGGCAGTACTAATCTAAGTCTTGCTCTCAGAAGCCCTTCTTGTGGTGAGAGTCTTCACTGGACTCAAAAGCCTCTCCAGGCTGCCGAATCCTCTCCCACTGCTTTTTTCAGGAGTCAGGCTGCTGACTCAGCTGTTTTCAGTTCCTCTGGGCCACTCCAGGAAGAGGTGGTGAGCAAGCCTGAGGCATTCTCTGGGTCACCAAGGGATGGGCAGGCAGCCTGGGCTGCCTTTCTGGTCTATCAGAGTAGACTGGGAACATCTGCTTGTCCTGTGTCCCTCAGACCTCCACAAGGAGACACAGCCTTACTTATTCTGCCCCACCCTGCATGCCACTGATCTTCCCTGACAGAGGGGACTTGTCCTAACCTCAGGAGCTCTGAAGAGATGAGGTTCCTCTGGTTCATGCTGCCCTGTTTTTCTTCCTGGAATTGCTTAGACTAGGCAGTCAGATGGGCCTGCTACAGTGGCTCCCAGCTTCATGGCTAATGGGGATAGCCTGGCCTTTGTGCCTGTTTGTCGGCATGGTGGTGGGGCATGAGCTCAAGACATGGCAATGCCTGGCTTGCCTGTACCCATCCACACCCCTCCTCCGGCCCTGGAGGGCCTGGCTGAGCCGACCAGGGCACACACCGTCTTGCATGCCTTGCTGTGCTCTCCACCCCTTGCCTGTTGCCCATCTGCTTCTGCCGCATGATGTGTGCTGCCCACCCCACTGTGTTGTGTGTCTAACCCTCTCTCTCGTTACTGTCACTCTCCTCTTCTCGGTGGCGTCATTTCTCTCATCCCATCTCATTGGCTGCCGTAGCAATAGGTAAGCGGCCTGTCAAGCTGCTGCCCAGGCACAGGTGGGTGGGGGGCCCTGCCCCCCCATCACTGTTTTCTTCATTCTTTTTTTCATCCCTGAACTTGCCCTGGAATTAGATCCTGGACAAGCAGGGGTGACCCAGTTCTGTGACCCCTTGGCTTTTCCCTCAGTATATTAGAGCCTTCTCTGAAGGCATGCTGGCTCTACTACCTTCTGGAGGACTCAATCTTCCCTGCTGGTGGGAAGACTGGAGAAGACGCGGGGTCTCTCTCTTTTCTGGGCCTGGAGCTTACTGAGAAGCTATAGAGGTGGCAGCAGGGAAATTGCAGCCAGGCTTGGGAGTCAGGAACATATTTCTCTAAATCCAGTAGACCTCACTTTACTATCTGCCCTACTGTCATTGCCTCTTGATTTCCCTCTCTCTCACGGCCAAATGTCAGCCTGGCTCTGGCCCTTCTCTCGGGCCCCTGCTGGGAGGAGTCTTAAGAAACTGGCCCGACAGTTAAGGCATTGGCTTTCGAGTGCGTGTCAGGCTTCAGCAGAGAGGAGGGTGGCTATTTGTTAGCAGCTGTGGTTGATCCCCACGGAGTGAGGTTTGCCTGTCCTGAGCAGCCTCTGTGCACTGTTTTCTCAGGAGGAATGCAGTGGACGCCTTTCGGGTCAATGTTATCCACGCCCGGCAGCAGGTGCGCAGCCCTGTCACCAACATCGCTCGCACCAGTTTCTTCCATGTTAAACGGTCCAACATCTGGCTGGCAGCTGTCACCAAGCAGAATGTCAATGCTGCCATGGTCTTCGAATTCCTCTATAAGATGTGTGATGTAATGGCTGCCTACTTTGGCAAGATCAGTGAAGAGAACATCAAGAACAATTTTGTGCTCATATATGAGCTGCTGGATGGTGAGGCTGGTGGGGCAGTGGGTCCAGGGTGGGGATAAGCCTGGTGGGGCCTGACCTGGGGGTGGGAGTAGGTCTGAGGCTCACTCCAGTACCCTCTAAACTTTCTTTCTTTATATGGTCTTTTGAACCGGGAGGAGGACAGTCCAAATCCAGACCTAAAGACTGATCTGAAATAAATACAGAAATAGGCTAGTGAGTAGAGGTGGAGGAAGACCGAAAGGTCTTTTGGTGGCTGGTCGTCCTGCTGTTCAGTTAAGCACATTTCATCCTCTTAACCTTGTGGTTTGGGCCTTGCTACACTGACTGTCCTACCAGCTTTCCATCTCAAGAGCTGCCTCAGAGCCTGGACAAGGATGTGATATTACGGGTTCCTCTGGATGCATTGTTACCTCTGTAGGGTATGATTTAAGTGAACTGAGTCCTTCCACCTTCCCACATCAGCTCTCTGTACTTTAAGGGCTTGGGGCTTCTGGACTTCTTACCCACTGGGCATGTGACTTCTGATTTTTTTTCTATTTGAAAAAAATGTGATGTTTTAACTGTTTTCTTATAAAGCATAAATTCTAGAGTAAATGCTACAAAGCTAGAAAAATCTTGCTGTAGATGATGCTACAGTGTTTTTTAGAGCTATGCTGGCCAGATGTTTCCAGGCCAGGGGAGAGATGGGAAGTAGGAGCCTTCAGCTTTTTCTAGGAGTTGATGAATCCCTTCCTTTTGCAGAGATCCTAGACTTTGGCTACCCACAGAACTCGGAGACAGGTGCACTGAAAACCTTCATCACCCAGCAAGGCATCAAGAGCCAGGTACTCAAATTGTCCAGGCTATAGTCAGGGTGGAGCCCAGCCTCCCTTCATCCCAGCTGGCCCTCAAGCCTTTTCTGAGCTGACTCATGAGCCCATCCCTGATAGGAAGTGCTGGCCTGAGCCTTCTGCCATGACTGCAGGCCTATTCTGCTCTGTGTGGCCTTCTCCCACCCCTGGAGCTTGCCAGCTCAGCATCTCTGTTACTGGGAATACAGCTCAAGCAGTTTCCTTCTGTGTAGGGGGGAGGGGGGTGTGGGCTGCTCTGGAGGCTTGATATTGCTCAGAAGGAGAGAGCCTGGGCCCCCTTCTAGGATCCAGGCCTCATAGCCTTCTCCTCCTTTTCTGCCTGCCTCTTCCCATCTGCGCTCATCTGCTTCCTGTGGGCACCGTGTTGGCTCTCTGTTCTCCAGCATCAGGTAAGCTATTCCCTCAGCTTTCACCCTTGCAGCTTTGCTCAGTTTTCTCCAGGCCCTGCCCCGTGGGGGAAGATGGGTCATACAGTGTGGACTAGAAGGGCGAGGGCATGAGGGTGGAGTAGGGATGGAGATAAGAAAATTGAAGGGGGCGAGGAATGAGGCCTTGTTGTTTGTCTCTGCACCCCATGTAGACAAAAGAAGAGCAGTCTCAGATCACCAGCCAGGTGACCGGGCAGATTGGCTGGCGGCGGGAGGGCATCAAGTATCGCCGGAATGAGCTCTTCCTGGATGTGCTGGAGAGTGTGAACCTCCTCATGTCCCCGCAAGGTGAGGGCCCTCGCGTGATGAAGCTGGAGGGGAGCCAGGGCAGGATATTGGTCCTGACTCAGCTGCTTCTGGTTATCTGTCCATCACCAGGGCAGGTCCTGAGCGCCCATGTGTCAGGCCGGGTGGTGATGAAGAGCTATCTGAGTGGCATGCCTGAGTGCAAGTTTGGAATGAATGACAAGATCGTCATTGAGAAGCAAGGCAAAGGCACAGCTGATGAAACAAGCAAGAGGTGCCTGAAGCAGGGTAGCTGGTGGGAGAGGGTGGACCTTGGACGGCTGAGCAGAGCCTGGTGAATCACAGGTTCCTTCTAGATTTCATGTCTGCAGTAACACAAACTCTCACTTCTCAAGGGTGTGCTTGGCTGGTTGCTCTTGGTATCTGTGTTGAAGAGATGAGGGGGTTATCCTCACCCTCCTCAAGAGTAAGCCCCTTTTTTTGGTCCCAAGGACCGAGACTTCTCTATGTACTGATGGCCTCTGTCCAGTGTGCCTGAAACTTTTGTGTTCCACACAGCAGAATTCTCAAAAGATAATGAGTTTGCAAAGCTTCCACTCATCCATAACTCTAGAAAAGGGACCCCGAAGTGAGAAAACTGCATTCTGGCAGCTTTCCATAGATTACAGTGCAAGCCTTGTCCAGGCTGCTGCAGCCTTTGTGGGTGGGGTAGTCTCCAAGCACAACTCACTGCTGCCATCCTCGTGTACCAACAAGACCTTCTATCCCTGCTTGCAGCGGGAAGCAATCAATTGCCATTGATGACTGCACCTTCCACCAGTGTGTGCGACTCAGCAAGTTTGATTCTGAACGCAGCATCAGCTTTATCCCACCAGATGGAGAATTTGAACTCATGAGGTGCCATTGGGGTGTGAGGAGCAGGGGCTGCTATTGGCAGAGAGCGGGGAGAGGGGGGAGGACAGGCTCTGCTGTGCCAACCTAAAGCTGTCACACCCCTGAAGGTATCGCACCACCAAGGACATCATCCTTCCTTTTCGCGTGATCCCACTAGTTCGGGAAGTGGGACGCACCAAGCTGGAGGTCAAGGTGGTCATTAAGTCCAACTTCAAACCCTCACTACTGGCTCAGAAGATTGAGGTGAGGATAAGGGGCTTAGGGAGGAGGAAGCACTTGTCTCTAAGAATAAAGGCAGGTGATTCAGGATTCGACAGAGCTCCCTGACATGTGTGTCACTTCTAGGTGCGGATCCCAACCCCATTGAACACTAGCGGGGTGCAGGTAATCTGCATGAAGGGGAAGGCCAAGTATAAGGCCAGTGAGAACGCCATCGTGTGGAAGTGAGTTTTTCCTTCATGAGGGCACAGCAGGGCTCAAGAAGCCTTGGTGTACACTCTTGTTAAGTGTCACCTTATGTGTGTGTGTGTGTGTAGTGGGGGAGTGGGGGTGACTGCTTCTGGAGCCCCTGTGCAGTTGTGCACATGCCTGCGCTGGGGTACCCGCATGCATGCTTTTATCATGATTCTTTACTGTTTCCCCATTTGCCCTTGTACCTCTGTGAAGTAGAGAGCAAGGGATAGCCTGGCCATGTATCTAAGCAGAAACTGCATGCAGCCCGCAGTGTTAAAGGAATAACAGACCCAAGGTTTCATAGCAAGAGGTTATCAGAGTCCTCACCACCTTGCCTTGCCCTGGCACCTCCCCTGAGTTTCTGGGTTCTTTCCCCCCCACAACCTCCTCAAAGGGGCAGCAACCCCCCTTAAAGCTTTTCTAAGCTACCAGGGGCCCGTGCTGCCTGTTGACCCTGTGTTTCTAGGATCAAGCGCATGGCAGGCATGAAGGAATCCCAAATCAGCGCTGAGATTGAGCTGCTGCCCACCAACGACAAGAAGAAATGGGCTCGACCCCCCATTTCAATGAACTTTGAGGTACGGCAGAGAAGGGGCCTAGAGCAGTGTGTGCTAGGAAAGACCTTAGAAATCCTTCCAGTCAATCTCTGCACCTACCACCTTGCTGATGACGAAACTGAGAGCCCTGAGAGAAGTGATTTCAATTCACAGACCCTTCCCCTGCAGGCCTCCTAGAAATTGATATTCACACTGACGAAAAATTTTGACTTCCTTTGGCTTGTCATAAAACAATTCTTAGGAAAAACTGAGATTGCTTGCATGCTTGGTAAGACACAAGACAGGAAAGTGGGCTGACTTTGCTTTGTGCGTATTAGACATGTAATTTTTTCCACCTTACTGTTTAAGTCCATAAAACTGAGCAGGATAAGTATATTCTAAGGCAGGTCTTTGGTTTGCTGTCACCTGCTGATTAAAGGAATTGATTCAAGTTGTCACAGGCAGGGTCTGACTTCAAACCCAAACGATAGATTGCTCATTATGCTTTCTTCTTTAGTAACCTCTTAGAGGACCCCTCACCATCCCAGCTTCCCACAGCTTCTTTCAGGGTCCCAATCATTCAAAGCCCTCTAGTAGAGAGATGAGGTAGGGCAGAGCTGTGAAACTTCCCCAAGGAGACCGGCTATGAAAGGAAGGCCACATTCCTAACTGGAGCTATCCCTTGCCCAGGTGCCATTCGCACCTTCTGGCCTCAAGGTGCGCTACTTGAAGGTGTTTGAACCGAAGCTGAACTACAGCGACCACGATGTCATCAAATGGGTGCGCTACATTGGCCGCAGCGGCATTTATGAGACCCGCTGCTAGCTGCCTGGTGGCCGCTAGCCCACCTCCCCACCCACCCTCTTCCACAGGTCTGGGTGCCCTCGGCCACCACACATCAGTGTCTCCTCCCTCCTGCTTTGCTGCCTTCCCTTTGCACCAGCCCCTGAGTCTAGGTCTGGACCAACCACATTGCAAGTGGGACTGGTGGAGCAGTCCCTGGGCTCCCTGAACGGGGTGGTTTCAGAGACTCCTGCTTCACCATCCATCTGCCTGCCCTAGCCCACTGCCAGGCTCTTGAGTTCAGTGACCAAAGCCAAGTGGGCTCCTTCTCCTCCCCTCTCCTATGGCCACATCTCTGGAGTGGGAGGGTTGGCTGCCCCTCACCTCGGAGCTCCCCCAAAGGCCAGTAACGGATCCCCAGCCCTCAATTCCTACTCTGCTTTGGGATAGTGTGAGCTTCATTTTGTACACGTGTGACTTCGTCCAGTTATAAACCTAATAAACTGTGTAGAATGGAGCTGCTGGCTAAGTGTTCAAGTGGGAGCTATACGGGGAGTGGGTTTGGTGGGACTGCCCCTCCCCTGTCTTAACTCAGCCTTGAGTGGAATTCTCTTCTGAACTCTTTTGTCATATCCTAATTGCTAGGTCCTTCAGGGCCAACCAAGCCCTTACCTGACAGGTATTTCCCCCAGAACTCCCTCCTGATAGCCTCAAGGGCAAGCAGCCCCACCTGGCCCCAGTTCCCTGAGGGTAGAGATTCTTACCTAACATCATCCTCAGTTTTAGGCAGGTATTTCTCTAATTAGCAGAGATTAAGCAAGGTTTACATATGGTCTTGTGAGCCATCCTTAGAAACTGACTGACCTCTTAATTTTATCCTCTTCCCAGTTCAAGCTTCCCAGACCTTGGTGGGTATGTTGTAAAAAGGAAAAAATTTAACTCTTCCCAGGCCTCTTACGGGCTCTCCTGTCCCCCGTGGCTGAGGGGTAAAGAATTCACCTGCAGTGCAGGAGACCAGGCTTCGATCCTGGGTCAGCAAGATTCCCTGATGGAGGAAATGGCAATCCACTCCAGTATTCTTGCTTGGAAAATCCCATGGACAGAGGAGCCTGGCGGGCTACAATCCATGGGGTCAGAGAGTCAAAGGCGACTAAACACGCAGGCAGGCCTCTTAGATAATTCCTCCCTCTATGCCCCCCCCTCGCCAAAGAATTGTGTGAGCAGGACCCTGAGGGGAGTGCTCCATATTCTGCTAAATGTGTTGAAGCAAAGATCTGCCATCACCAGTTTTCCCTTGCTTGGTCTCTGCCTTTTTAAACCTAAGAAATCTATTAAGAGAAAATTTCAAACAAGTAGAAAATATATATTGAACTCCCATCATAGTGGTTCAACTTGTGATCAGCTCTTTAATGTCACATCCAATCTGTTCATGCTTAATTCAAGTGTCCTACAAAAACGTCACAATTTATATCTGCATCCAAACAAGGTCCCCTGATTGGTGGATGCTTCTTAAATCTTAAAAGCCACAAGTTCTCTCGCAGCTTTTACAATGTTGCTGAAGAAACCAGATAGTTCTGTAGTTTCCCTGTTAGGAGTCCTCTTTCCCTGTGTTTCAAATAAAATGGAAATCTTGTAATATTCCTCAATGACAAAACGATGAATGGGTGTGACTTTAAGTGACAATTTTGGAGCCAGTTTGGAAGAATAGTCACATTAAATGTGAAGCGGTAGCATTTTCAGGAAATTCCTAACTTCTACCTGAGGGAAACTGTGAAAGGCAATAGCCTTTTACAGTCACTTACTGAGACTCAGGTTGCGGAGATGTCTGCTTTGGGTGTAGGTTGGGAATAATAAATAGTAATGAAATTACACAGACCTTGTCGATCTGGTTTTCTTGCCCAGTGCCGGTCAGTGAGGTAGTGCCCGGGGGTGACGGAAGGCCCAAAGGGCGTTATTCGCTTAAGTCTGCTGAGCCGTCAAGTGTCAGAGGTCGCGGGCGAGCTGGCTATCTGATCAAGACAAGCAGCCCATAGGGCCTGAAAACCGAACAAAATCCACGACTGCACAAAAAGGTGCGAGGGGCTTCTGAGCGCTCAGGCACCAGCGTGAGTCAGCAATGCTCTCAGCGGGCTCCACAATGGACAGGCACGCAGCGGCTGACGCGCCTCTGGGGAGCATGTAGAATCTAGCAAGGCCAATGTGCTTTATCGACCGCCCTTCTCGGGAGGTTCCCTTCATGGCCTGATAAACGGCGAGCTTCCCCGTACCCCGCCCTCGCCGCCTGCAAGATCTCCACCTCCCAGAAGTCTCTGAGAACCGCACATGTGGCTAATTCTTTAGTGGAAAAGAGTCGCGCAAGCGCAGAGAGCGGCTCGGCGTAGACTCTGAGCGGCGCTTGCGTACGGTACCGCCAGCTCCGTTCGCCCCGCCCTCCGGGTTCTGCGCGCTCCGCGCCTTTCTTACGTCACCGTTTCGCATGCGCTTTGGTAGGCAGGGCGAGCTTTCGGGGGACCGGTAGGGGGCGGGCCTTGGCCGGGGTCTAACGGCGACTGCGCGGACGGGAGCCCGACTGGAACATGGCGACTTGCGCTGAAATCCTGCGGAGCGAGTTCCCCGAAATTGACGGACAGGTCTTCGACTACGTGACGGGTGAGCCGAACCGAATCAACGCGCTGGGGATGTCGAAGTGGAAGTCAGGACGGGGGGAAGTACTAAGGCAGAGCAGTGGCGGGGACCGCCGCTAGGCCTCTCCTCTGTGTGACCTCTTGTCCCGAGGGCCAGTTGGGTCTGGAGCCCGGACTGGGGCCGCAGTACGGGGACCAAGACTGCTTGTATGTCTACCTTATCTGGTATCTTCCTCGTCTTGACACGCCCTCCCTAGGCGTCTTGCACAGCGGCAGTGCGGACTTCGAGTCTGTGGATGACCTGGTGGAAGCTGTGGGGGAACTGTTGCAGGAGGTGTCCGGGGACAGCAAGGATGACGCGGGCATCAGGGCCGTGTGCCAGCGCATGTACAACACTCTCCGCCTGTACGTGCCAGGGCAGGGGGATTCGGGGAGATGGGAGAGCGGACGGTCAGGTGACAAGACGTGAGAGAAGGTCTGATGGCCATAGAGCTTTTTCCTCCACTTCTAACCCATTGCTTTCTATCCCTACCCTCAAGGGCGGAACCACAGACCCAGGGAAACAGCCAGGTGCTACTAGACGCCCCCATCCAGTTGTCAAAGATAACAGAAAACTACGGTGAGAGAGAGGGAAGATTGAACTAGCTGCCCTATGTCCTCCACTCCCTACCCACCTGCCCTCTGGGGTTCAGGACTCTTGGTACCTCTTTTCCACAGGACAAGGTTGTAGGAGTTAGTTGATGTCTTTACTGAGGGCAAATGAGCCATTAATAAAGGGATTAAGATTGGCGAGGTCTCCAAGCTCTTGGGTGTGGTAGGACGCATGGGTCTTGGAGCTGGACAGATTTAGGTTCACTCCCCAATTTTGCAGTTTACTAACCTACTGCATGATCTTGTAAGAGTTGCTTAACTGCTCCTAGCCTCTGTATCCTTAAATCTGTGAGTTGAGTTTTTTTGTTTTTTTTTTTTGGTGGAGATGCCGAGAATGTGAGTTGAGTTTTTAAGTGTTGAGAGAATTGATACCTATCTCTAGGTATCTCTAGGTATGTGTCTGTGTCTGATTCATGTTAGTCACTCAAAATGTTAGTTTCCGTTCCCTTAGGGAGAAGGTGACTGCTTTTCTTATCGCTTACAGACTGTGGCACCAAACTTCCAGGCCTGCTAAAGAGGGAACAGTCCTCGGTGAGGAGGGAGAGGAAGAAGAAAGGGAGGGGTGTGTGTCTGTGGTGGGGGTGAGAGTTGGCTATTTCTAAGTATTGGAGTATCTTCTTGGGGCATTTCTGATCGTCTTTCCCTGAGTCTGCACCACAGGATGAAATGGGTTATGTTTGGACCCTTAGACGGTGAATGCAAAGAAGCTAGAGAAAGCTGAGGCTCGATTGAAGGCAAAGCAGGAGAAGCGCTCAGAGAAGGACATACTCAAGACCAGCAACCCTCTGTGAGTTAGTGAAAAGGGCTGAGAAGAGAGCAGAGCAGTCCCAATTGAGATGGAAGGCTGCTTGGGAGTGCTAAAAGCCATCCATTTCTCCCTTTAAGAGTCTTGGAAGAGGCATCAGCCAGCCAGGCAGGCAGCAGAAAGGAAAGTCGGTTGGAATCATCTGGAAAGAACAAATCCTACGATGTGCGAATTGAGAACTTTGATGTGTCTTTTGGCGATAGGTGAGGGAGTGGCAGTGGGGGAGTGGGGGTGACGGGTTTTTCTTTTTTTCTACAGTTAAAGGAGAATTTGGAGAGGTGAAATGGGGCTAAGAATAGTTAGATTTCTGTTGTTAAACTTGCTGTGCAGCTATCTCTAGAGCCCCCTTTGTCATCTTCCTGCTACCCGTGCAGGGTACTGCTGGCTGGAGCAGATGTGAACCTCGCGTGGGGCCGCCGCTATGGGCTGGTGGGTCGGAATGGGCTAGGGAAGACGACGCTGCTGAAGATGCTGGCCACCAGGAGCCTGCGGGTTCCAGCCCACATTTCCCTGCTACATGTGGAGCAAGAGGTTGCTGGAGATGACACCCCTGCCCTGCAGAGCGTGCTGGAGAGTGACACAGCGCGAGAAGACCTCCTGCGTCGGGAGCGGGAGCTCAGTGCCCAGATTGCCAGTGGCAGGTGAGGGCTCCCTGGGACAGACTGACCACCAGCAGCCATGCTTCGCAGGGTACCTGCCACGCTGGCACAATCCACCATTCGAATACCCATCCTAGTAAGCAGCAGAGCTTAGGGTTTGGCACGGTGGGGCTGTGCATTCCTTGTTCCTGGCATGGTGCCCATTGCCCTCACTGCTGTGAGCAAGTCCTTCCTGTCCTCTGTTCCTGTCCCAGCAACATGCAGCCAGTAGCCTGCTTTGCAGCCGTCGTGAGGTGCAGGATGAAATAGTAAACTTCTCCCGCTCAGCCTGATTGCTCTTCCCCCCATTCCTAGGGCCGAGGGTTCACAAGCTGCACAGCTGGCAGAAATCTATGCCAAGTTGGAGGAGATTGAGGCTGACAAAGCACCTGCCAGGTATTTAAAATTCCCTTCCTTCCTTCAGATTTTATCTTTCCCATCTGTTACCTGTTCCAACCAGGTTCTTTCATTTTTTCACACCTAGAGCATCAGTCATTCTTGCTGGGCTTGGCTTTACCCCCAAAATGCAGCAGCAGCCCACGCGGTGAGTGGCCCCTACCATTCTTGGCTCTGAACACTGTTGGCTGTGCCTCTGCCTCTTCTCGTGAACACTTGCCCCTGATGCAGCTCTGTCTCTTTAGGGAGTTCTCAGGTGGCTGGAGGATGAGATTGGCCCTGGCCCGGGCTCTGTTTGCTAGGTGAGTCCCCTGGACCTGTGTGTGGATACTGTGGAGGATGAGTTTGGCTCTTGGGAGGTGGCAACAAGTCGTTGACCTGAAACTTCAAACCATGCATTCTTCTTTTCCATAGGCCAGATCTGCTGCTGTTAGATGGTGAGTGTGAAACGCGGCACCCTGACTTTGGGGTGTAGAAGGGTGGTATTATCCAAGTTTCTAGTTCTCCAGCCCTTCAATCCCAAACATGTCCTCCCCTGCTTTTCTAGAACCCACTAACATGCTGGATGTAAGGGCCATCCTGTGGCTGGAGAATTATCTGCAGGTGAGTGCCTCCAGGTGTGGAGCAGGTCTGGGAAGCGTCTGCCTCCACGGCCGCTGGGGTTTGGGAGCTGATTGCCCTCCCAAACCGGGCCTGCCATCCTGTGACCCCCTCAGACGTGGCCCTCCACAATCCTGGTCGTCTCCCATGACCGCAACTTCCTGAATGCCATAGCCACAGACATCATCCACCTGCACAGCCAGCGGTTGGATGGTTACCGGGGAGACTTTGAGACCTTCATCAAGAGCAAGCAGGAGCGACTGCTCAATCAGCAGCGTGAATATGAGGCCCAGCAACAGTATCGCCAGCATATCCAGGTGGGAGAGCAGGCAGGAGTGGGGACCCACCCCATCCTATGGGTACTAGAGTCATGGGAGGCGAGGGAGCTGAACATGCCTGAACTTGTCCACGTGCAGGTTTTTATTGACCGGTTTCGCTACAATGCCAACAGAGCCTCCCAAGTGCAGAGCAAACTCAAGATGCTGGAGAAACTGTGAGTACAGTGTCCCTGACCGGGCCCTGACTCCTCTCGTTTTATAGGGAATGCCTACAGTTCTCATCTTGCCCTCCCCTTCTAGATTTCTCCTTTCCTACAAATCAGCTTTAACTTCCTTCCCTGCAGGAAGACCTGGTATTCTATTACTGCTCTTGGAGAGCTCATCTTGCCCCCAGACCTCGGCAACCATCAGTCTGCTTTCAGTCTATATATTTGCTAATTCTGGACATTTCATATAGATGGATTCGTACCTGTGACCTTTTTTTATGTCTGGCTTCTTTTGCTTAACGTCATGTTTTTGAAGTTCATCATGTAGCCTGGATGAGTACTTCACTCCCTTTTTCTGGCCAGATAATATTTCATTGTACGGTTACTCCACATTTTGTTTAATGATTCATCAGGTGGTGGACGTTCAAATTGTTTCCCGTTTTTGGCTGTTAGGAATAATAGTACTGATATGAACAAGTTTTTTTGTGGACATATGTTTTCTATTCTCTTGGGTACATAGCTAGGAATGGAATTGCTGGGTTCTGTAATAATTCTATGTTTAAGATTTTGAGGGATTGCCAAACTGTTTTTAACAGCAGCTGCACCATTTTACATTCCTACCAGCAGTATATGAGGATTACAGTTTCTCCACCTCTTTGCCAACATTTATTATCTGTCTTTTGAAGTTTAGCCCTCCTAGTGGATGTGAAGTGATATCTTTTTGAAATCTTGATTTGTATTTCCCTTGTGACTAATGATGTTGAGCTTTGGAGGCATTTTTTTATTGAAGTATAGTTGATGTGCAATATTATATGTTTCAAGTGTACAACATAGTGATTCACAATTTTTAAAGATCATGTTCCATTTATGCTTATGATAAAATATTGACTATATTCTCTGTGTTGTGTAATATATCCTTGTAGCTTATTTTATACCTAGGAGTTTGTATCCTTTAATCCCTTACCCTAGTCTTGCCCCTCCCTCCCTCCCCTCTCCCCACTGGGAACCACTAGTTTATTGTCTATATCTGTGAGTCTGCTTCTTTTTTGTTATATTGACTAATTTTATTTTTTAGATTCTACATATAAGTGATACCATACAGTGTTTTTTTTTCTCTGACTTATTTCACTTAGCATAGTCTTCAAGTCCATTTATCTTGGTACAAATGGCAAAATTTCCTTCTATTTTTATGGCTGAGTTGTTGTTCAGTCACTAAGTCGTGTCTGACTCTTTGTGACCCCAGGGACTGCAGCACCCCAGGCTTCTCTGTCCTTCACTGTCTCCTGGAGTTTGCTCAAATTGATGTTCATGAGTTGTTGATGCTATCTAACCATCTCATCCTCTACTGCCCCCTTCTCCTGTTGCCTTCAGTCTTTCCCAGCATCAGGGTCTTTTCTAATGAATCGGCTTTTTGCATCATGTGGCCAAATATTGGAGCTTCAGCGTCAGCATCAGTCCTTCCAGTGAATATTCAGGCTTGATTTCCTTTAGGATTGACTGGTTTGATCTTATAGTCCAAAGGACACTCAAAAGTCTTCTCTAGCACCACAATCCAAAAGTATCAATTCTTTGATGCTCAGTCTTCTTAATGATGCAACTCTCACATTTGTACATGACTACTGGAAAAACCATAGCTTTGACTATACAGACCTTTGTCAACACATTGTATATGTGTCTGAATATGTATATCCATTCATCTGTGGATGGATGGACACTTAGGTTGTTTCTGTGTCTTTGCTATTGTAAACAATATAGCTGTAAACAGAAGGGTGCGTGTATCTTTTCCAATCAGTATTTCTTTTTTTTTTTTTCCGGATATATACCCAAGAGAGTATTGGAAGTTTAATCTTGAAGCAACATTTCTAGACATACAGGTGGTAGGGGAGCTTAAAATTCTAAGGCTTAGGATCTTGTGATGTTGAAACATATAATATATTAACTGGGAGAACAAAAAGCTGCCCCCAAAAAAACTTCTGTTCTTTTCAGCATGTGTATTACTTGTATGAAAAGAACAAATCCATTTTTTAAAGTCACAAATCTAGTCTGTCTCCTGTCTCCTCAGACCAGAGCTGAAACCTGTGGACAAGGAGCTGGAGGTAGTGATGAAGTGAGTGCTGGGTCAGAGGGGCAGGTGGGGAAGTTCTTGTTTCTGGGGCTGCCCTTATGCTCATCATCCCACCTCCTGCAGGTTCCCCGATGGATTTGAGAAGTTCTCACCACCAATCTTGCAACTGGATGAGGTGGACTTCTACTACGACCCAAAGCACGTCATCTTTAGCCGTCTCTCCGTCTCTGCCGATCTTGAATCCCGCATCTGTGTGGTATGGCTACCTTCTCTGTTCCGTGAGCTGGGACTGGACTCGCCCAGTGTGGAGATTGTGTTGTGGGTTGGTCATGTGGGAGAGAAGGTCCACAGGAGTAGGAGTTAGAGCCTGGGCCGAGGACTTCGCTGTACTTGTCCTGGTCCCTTTTCCAGCCTCACAGGGCCACTCTGCAGCATAGACAGAGCCTGGCCTGTGGTGTTTTATAAGTACTTAGAGCAGTACTTTGTCTTATTGGTCTCAGCTCTGAGTGTCCTCCTAACTGTGGAACATAGAGGAGAGAGCATGGCTTAGGGTCAGACTTGGGATGCTAAGTCTGCCATTTCTTAGCTTGGTTACTAAGCAGACTCCTCATTCTTAAAAGGGAGATAACATCCAGCTTGGTCTGCTACTGGGAGAATTAATTCCCTTGCATTTAGTGGGTACTTGAGTATTGGTCCCCTTCACAGCTTTACTGTTTCCTTCATTTTTCTCTACAGTTCCTTAAAAATGTTTTTTTAGTTGTTGGAGTCACTGGGACTACCTGGGATCTATTTTCATCTCCTCTGCTTCTGTATCCCACTCAGGGATGCTCTTTATATACTCATGTGTCTTCTTACAGGTTGGGGAGAATGGGGCTGGGAAGTCTACCATGCTGAAGTTGCTTATGGGGGACCTGACACCTGTTCGGGGCATCAGACATGCTCACAGGTAGGGCGCACGCCTCCACTTTCCAACCCCTCCTGTGCTGTAGCTATACTCCTTTATGGTCATTGCTTTCCATCCCCTCTCCACCTTCCCATCTGTCTGCAGGAATCTGAAGATTGGCTATTTCAGCCAGCACCACGTGGAGCAGCTGGACCTGAATGTCAGTGCTGTGGAACTGCTAGCACGCAAGTTCCCTGGTGCGTTAAAGAATTTGAGCTAAGGAAAGAGGGCTGGGCCTGACGCCTCCCCCTCGGCTTACCTTGCATTGCTGAGTCTGGGTGTAAGGATGTGGGCATTGGGGGTGGGGCTGGGTGGATGGTGAAGGGAGAGAGTTGGGCCTGGAACCCACACGGTGGGGTGGGGCCTATTGCAGGACGGCCTGAGGAGGAGTACCGTCACCAGCTGGGCCGGTATGGCATCTCTGGAGAACTGGCCGTGCGCCCTGTTGCCAGCTTGTCTGGGGGCCAGAAGAGCAGGGTGGCCTTTGCTCAGATGACCATGCCCTGGTAAGCCGCCTTGACTAGAGCTTTGCCCTTCATTTTCCCACTCTTGCCCAATGGAAAATGATTGTCTTGCCTTGGTACCAGAGCTCATTTTCTCTAAGCCCCCCTAACTGCCCACCTTTCTGGGTTCTGCCTTCCAGTCCTAACTTCTACATTCTGGATGAACCCACAAACCACCTGGATATGGAGACCATCGAGGCTCTGGGCCGTGCTCTCAACAACTTCAGGGTGAGTGTACCTTCACACTGCCCACTCCTTCCTGGGCCTCAGCACACCTTTGGGCCCCTCTGAGAGCCCTCCGGTCTCTGTCTTGCAGGGTGGTGTGATTCTGGTGTCCCATGACGAACGCTTCATCCGGTTGGTGTGCCGGGAGCTGTGGGTGTGCGAAGGAGGTGGCGTCACCCGAGTTGAGGGGGGATTTGATCAGTACCGAGCTCTTCTCCAGGAACAGTTCCGCCGTGAGGGCTTCCTCTAGAGCCACGAGGCTGAGGACTGTGCCCAGGACATGGACTGTCTCTCAGACCCCTGGGCCACCATGTAGGCAGTCATCTCCTGCCATGGACTTCCCCCAACTTTGGGGACAGCCTTATTCCTAAATCTCTCTTTTTGACTGGAGCATCCTCTGCACAACCCAGGAGCCCCACCTAAAGGTCTTTGAGGACTGGTCCTCCAAGGGGAAGGGAGTGGGGGGCTGCCCTCTGGGACTTTAGACCCCTCCCACTGCCCCAGCTGCGACTGGGCTCTGAGTGGCCGCTGTGTAAATTAAATCTCCTTGCATCTCCCTTGCTTACTCTGCTGCTCCTGGTGCAGGGCTGCAGTGTTCACCCATGGTTAAGAAGTGCAGTCTCTCTGATTTGGCATTTTCCTGTGACATTTGCGTCTGTCATATGGAGGAGGCCATGGAAGCATCAGTGTTGCCCCTGGGGGGAGATGTCATTAAAGCCGCTGGGGGTTGGCCTTGCAGTGGACCAGCTTATAACGAAGGGCAGTGTATTCCATCACTGCAGTGCTGTGCTCTCCAGCCCAGGCTTAGCTGAAGGGGTCTGGGTTCTGCTATCAGCCCCACTGCTTGAGAGAGTAAGCTGATTCTGTAACCCAGCCTCAGACATGATTTGCCAATTGCTTTCTCCAGTGATCTCTGGCCCAGGCTCGCCCTGCTTCTCTGAATTGGACCCTTTGGGGACAAAGAGAAGTGAGAAACTGTCCCCATTGTGCTTGAGTGGTTTTGTGTTCTTTATTTTTTCTCTTAACTATGTAGGAGAGGCCTGGGAAGTAGGGAATTGAGAATGGGGTCTAAGATAAAAAGAACATCTTGGTTTCAAACTAACAGCTGTTTAAATGGGGAGGTGGGGGTTGTTTAACAGAAGTAGTATGATTTATAAATATTATTTCCTGGATACTCAGCCACTGTATGTAATTGTTGTGCAGAAGACACTAAAATTGCTTTCCTCTTAATGACTGGAGAAAACAGCATCAACAGAAGAACTTGGCTTCGTGGAGAATTGTCATCACAAAGTTCAACCAAGGAATCTTAACCCAGCCACTGCGGGTCTTGTGATACAGGTCGCTGGGGAGGAGACACCTGTCTGGGGGTAAAGGAAGATAAAGCCGGAAGGCTCTGCACCAGTGGACTGCACAGCCAGCAGGATCGGTCACTAAATCTTCCCACTTCCTCAGCCCCTGTCTTGGGAGTCCTCAAGAGGTGGTGTTCTAGGTGTGTCTGTGGCCACATGCATCCTCACACTCCCGAGGACCACAGGCCCCATCACTCTCTTCCAACCTCAGACCTGCATGTGGGCCAGTTGGGGCCATCCGGGGTAGGGTCTGTGCCTCCCTATTCATCAGGCCCTTCACCCCTCACCAGCTTGTGGTCCTTGTCTGAGTTTTCCCAGTTCTTTAGAGTCCCTGGAAATGTCGCCGGAGCTTCAATGGCAGAGTGCTTCTTTGGAGGTGGCTTTGTGTGTTGAGAGCAGTGGAATTGGATCTGTGATCAGATCCCAGCACTATTGCTGATAATAGAAGGGCTCACCTATATTAATTAGCTGGGTAGCCATGACAGGTCGACCTTTGAACACCTCTCTGGGGTCTACATAAACACTCAAAGTGATTCCTCTGTGACCAGTCTATGATTTGGAGGGCCATCATATGAAAAAGCAGTACATTTTTTCTGAGTGACTCCAGAGTAGACAGGTTTGGGTTCAAAGGAAGGAAAAACTTTCTTTAACAACTCAAACTGCCTTCTACAGTTCCCAATCTCTGGAACTGTTCAGCACTATGGGTATCTAAAGAAGGGCTCTTTCAAGTGGGAGACAGCATTAGATGGCCTCTAGGCTGGCTCCCAGTTTTATGATTCCATTAAGTAAGATCCTGTATGTGTGACAATACAGACCTACACTGCAAGCCTTCAGAAAGTTAAGATGAGTGAATTGCAGCAGTTGAGAAAAGACCCTACAATAAGTGTGTAAGGTGAATTTGGGGGGATTTGCGGTAGGGAGTTGGGTAGAAAATTCAGGCAGTGTCAGCCTGCTCTCCCAGGAAACACAGAGCAGAGAGAAGGGAGGAATCTGACACAGGGATGCGCCCCCTTCCACTCTAGAGAGCCTGTCTAACCTCTGCTCCTGGGAGGCTGGTTTTTCCACCAGAGCCTTAACAGTCAGGAGCTGGCCAGGTTGAAAGGCCTCTGCAGTCCTGGCCTCCCTGCTTCTGCTGGCCTTACACACTCACCAGCCTCACTGGTCCCCTGTGGGAGGGGGAATGCAGAGGGATCATAGATCCTTCCATACAAGTATACACAGTAATTGAAGGTACCAGTCGTTTATTTCAACATTGGAATTGCTGTCAAGATTTGTGGGATGTAGACAACTTTAGGTAAGTTCTCACTGGTTTCCAGGCAAATGTAAGCTAAGGAGAAGGGACCATTTACCCTCACTGGCCGTTCTCCAGCCTAGTTTGTCATTTATAGCCTAACATCCTACTAAGGGCTTCCCTGGTAGCTCAGCTGGTAAAGAATCTGCCTGTAATGCAGGAGACCCTATTTCAATTCCTGGGTCAGAACGATCCCCTGGAGAAGGGATAGGCAACCCACTCCAGTATTCTTGGGCTTCCCTGTTAGTTCATATGTGAAGAATTTGCCTGCAGTGTGGGAGACCTGGGTTCAATCTCTGGGTTGGGAAAATCCCCTGGAGGAGGGCATGGCAACCCACTCCAGTATTCTTGCTTGGAGAGTCCCCATGGACAGAGGAGCCTGGCGGGCTGCAGTCCATGGGGTCACAAAGAGTCGGACACAACTGAGCAACTAAACACAGCACGGCATCCTACGAAGAGCCACCTTCCAGGCCTAGGTCAGGCTCACCCTCAGAGGGCCAACCAAACAATGCCAGCATCAGAGCACTGTGGCTTGTCACCAGCCTGAGTGTGTAGGCTGGGTGTCGGAGTCTAGGAAATCCCACAGGCTAGCAGGGTGGGCCCAAAACCTGGCTGAACCTGGAATGATGGACTCCCCTCAACTCTGGCCCCCTCTAGGCAGGTTTCAGTGCACTTTATGTGTCCCTCACTGTAAGCTGCCTGCCGTTAGCCTTGTGGTTCCCACCTGCCTGGATATCTTTGAAGGCCAGACCCTGGCTTGCTTATCTTTGCATCTTCTGTCTCTGTCACAGTTTGGGTTCCCTGGGAAGCAGCTTGAAGAGATTGGAGTGTTCATTAGTGCAGTGCTCCAGATTGAGCAGAGGGAGAAGTTGAGCTCCAATGCAGGCCCAATGAAGGCCTCAGTCAACCCCACATTCTGGAGCTGGCAGAGGTGTTCTGAGTTGAGGCAATGGGTCTAGTCTTATTCCACTGGATTGAACAGTCTCTGAGTGCTGGCTGCCACTAGAAGGAGTGATGAGGACATTGGAAGAGGACATTTTCATCAGCTGAGGCAGCTACCCTTAAGGGGTGACACCTGAGGACTTGGTGCCGTCAGTGCTCAGCAACTAGTGTGCCAGGTCTTTTATTCCCTGAAAGCTCATCACAGCAACCACTCCCATGCCTAGCATGTAAAGAAGTGCTCAGTAAAAATGCTTGAGCAGACTTCCTCGGCAGTCCAGCAGTTACGACTCTGCTTCTACTGCAGAAGGTGTGGGTTTGATCCCTTGTTGGGGCACTAAGATCCCACATGCAAAAGTTTGAGAAGTGAATATTTGGGGGAAATTGAGAAAAAGTAGGGAATGACCTTGGAGAAGGGGAGCTTCCAGCCCTAAATTCACAGGGTCAGAGTGGCAGAGGTAGAGGTGCACAGGCAAGGGCTTGTGGGGCCCACAAGAATGAGGAAGGGCTCCTTTTCTGGGCCAGAGCCTTGATATGAAAGCTTTGGGACATGATATCATAGAGGTGAATTTTTGTTTTCGAACGTCTCCTTGTCTTTCAAGAGAATTATCAAGAAAATGACAGTTAATAGTTATTGGGCTCTTGTTATGTAAGTGGCACTGTAGTTGCTTTACCTACACTAAATCCATACAACCCCCCGCACTGGCACCGTTGTCCCCTTTTTTAATAGATGAGGAAGTAGCGTTGACAGAGTGGGAGGATACAGGATCATCTGGCTCCAGAGCACAGCTCCGAGCGGCCACACTGCCCTACTGCTCAGCTCCTAGTGTGGCATGCTAAATAGTGAGACTTCATTAATTCCATCACTTAAAACTCCATTAATTGCATGGGATGGGAAGTGGGGGGGGTTGAAGATGCTTCTCTCAGGAGAGCAAGCTGATGAGTAAGGAATACCTGGCACAATGGCTGACACAATCTAAATGTGCTCAGTGATTTTTCATTAAGTGATTCATAACGTGGTATAGTGGAAAAGTCGTGCACTGGGATTAGCCCAGCTCTCCCACTGCCTGCATGTGTGCTAAGGCACTTCAGTCATGTCCAAGTCTTTGCAACCCTATGGGCTGTAGCCTGCCAAGCGCTTCAGTCCATGGGATTCTCCAGCAAGAATACTGGAGTGGGTTGTTGTTACCTCCTCCAAGGGATCTTTCTGAGCCAGGGATCAAACCTGCTTCTCTTGCATCTCCTGCATTGGCAGGTGGGTTCTTTAGCACCACCTGGGAAGCCCCACCACTGACTGCATCTTAGGCAAATCAACCTCTCTAGAGTAAATTATCCTTATATATAAAATGGGCATAATGCAGTTTATCTTGCCTGTTTTGTGGGTAGGAGAAAGGGTTAAATTAGATAAGTTCCTGTGTAAATGGAATAATTTTTTTTAAATAAACTGTAAAATGTCATGGATCCAGAGGGTGTCATTTCATGGGAGGAATGAGAATACAGCAGCCTGGAGCCTCCTCTAGAGACAGGCAGACTCTCAGGAGCACAGACAAGCAAAGCACTCCAGGCCATCATCAAGATGATGGCCCCAGGAGGGCCACCCCACAGTCCTCATCTGCTAAACCAAGAATCAGAAAACCTGAATGCAGAAGCACAGCATGAAACTCTGCCTGG